CGCAAGAGAACGTTTCAATATCGATCAAAATTTCATTGAACACTACAGACACTGAACAGAGGAAGACAGCTGTAATCATCAGACACTAAAGACTTCGATCTTCGTTGCAACAAAAATTCAACTGCAATTTCGTCTTCGAATAAGCGATGAAAAGATTTACGTTACGTGCCTGTGTGTGTAGCATAATCTCAAGGTCGATTTCATTGAACTAACAACAACTCGTGGATCATGACGTATTACCTAACGACGACGACAGATCCGTGATTTATTGTACCGAAGAAATCATAAATTATAATCGTACACGCGCACCAGCAAGAATATTCTACCGAGGAATTTGCGTTTCAATGCAAATATTGGTTCTCGAAAATATTCTCTTTACGTGATCATACTATCTAATTCCTCATAAGGCCCGAGTTAATATTTCCTTTGTCACACATTATTGTCCATGTTGTAGTAAATCTCGACGAGTAAAACATTTGCAAGTCACGAACTCGGAATGTTTGAAGAACTCACTCAGCTCACGACAAAGTAATTTTTGCGTTACATAACCGAAGGCGATCGTTCTTTTAAACGCCTTGAGTTTTATATCTTCTTAGCATTTTCTTTTAAAAAAGTACCTCGACTCGACGGAACGTATTTTATCTCGGCAATTATTTTGAAAATAAAATTTACACGTCGTATTTGAAGACCACTCTTAATATTTCGAGAATAAACAAAATCGTGATTGCAAAAATACAAGTTCTTGTGACATCGGTCTTTGAGTTGAAATCGTATATACCATAAAAATATGCCGTGTATAAACAAAAGCATTAACTATGCAATTTATGCAATTGTAGAATTCGAGGTTTTATTTAAAACCGCTATAGTTCGATAGCTCGCACGGAATCCAATTGACTTGCGCCACCGATTTTCTTCAAAACTGGAATGTTACAAGCTTGAAATATGAAGAATCGTTCCATCTATCGTAGGAACACTGTGTCACTTTTTGATCAATCCAATATATCGAGTATCGGCCGGTTGTAATTGGAATTTTCGACGATCACGTCGGGGTGAGATCGGCGCGATTTGCGGCGAGTGATCGTTGAATAATCTAATTGAAAACTAGTGGACGGCTCTATTTAATCGGCTCATGTAAATAAATCGGCCGGATTGCGATTGGAACGTGCTAGAATTCTAGAATTACGCGCGGCTGTATAATTTTGGTCACGCGCCTGTTACGCGATTTCGAATGCATTCGCCCTTATCGGCAAATCGTTTCCTTCGGAACGATTAAAACGAACAGGAATAAAACTACACGCGCGGGGCCGTAGTGTATGCGCCGTATCACGTGCGCTGCAAGTACAATCTGCTTCCTATACAGAGCCGGAGATTATGGATGAGAGACGCCTATAAAATTCTATTCGCGCGCCTTCTTCTATCGTTTTCCTCGACCAATAATTAAACGACAGTTTCCACCGATTCGTTCGTCACGTGCGTTGACAAATTAAGCCTGATAACGAACAGACTATGACCCCGATCTCGTATTAATGAAATTGCGAAACAAGCGACCACGCGCCTTCAATCTGTTAACCGAAGAATACGAATTGCTTCTTTGTTTGGATATCGATTCCGATCTTTGCTTCGAGGCGATTTATCATTTCATTGCAAACAAAATTATATCTGATCGTTGATATCAGTATATCTTCGAATTGAACGTGACGATTTCATCGTGCTGCATCCGATTGGAAAAAATTTCTGAAGCGAGTTACAAGTTAATTAATTTCGTTCCGTGAAACAACGCAATATTACTTCGTAATATTAACCCTTACGCAATATTACGTTACTACCACTCTGCCAACTCGAGTGTTTATCTTATCAAGGTACACACTCTGTTGCAGATAAATGATCAGTAGCCGGTTACACCTAAAAATGAGGAAGTTTCGCGCGATTGCGCAATCCCATGTGGTGCAACCATCTTCGAGATTTGTGAAGAGTGTGTTCTTCATCGATCTCGTCGATATTATCGAATTAAGTTTCGCACGGTCATTTGCCATTATCAAGCTTATCGCATAGTACTATCCGTGACGACGATAATGGAGGCAGTGAATTGCAACAACCGCCGTGAACCCTACGATTATCCGAGGTGGCTTTCATAACACAGTACCAATTGACTTCCTTCAACCTAACCGGCACAATCAACGTGCCGCCGTTACGTAAACGGTTTTCAAGTTCGCGTGCGAGTATCGATTCGGTAACGCTGACACCGTCTCGAGACGCGAACCTGTCATCTCCGCGATCCGAATTGCTCCGCTGCCTCTCGAATTTTGTCTTCTCGATGATGTAACATTTATCCTAAACGGTTCGTTTCAATCGGTGTACTGACCGGTCAGCAGCAGCCGCGCTAATTAACTCGATCAATAAAGATAGCGCGCGAATGATGTTTAGTATTAAATTACGATTGTATTAAAATTTACGATCGAAAGTTACGATTACTCGCGTCATTAGCCCTCGTGGAAAATTATCGAGAACACGCAGTGTGCGTATAAAGTTCTATACAGCAAAACCCGATCTCTTTGTTCGTGATTATATAAAGTAATAAAAGTTGCAAAAAGTTGCAATCTAGTTTATAAATATGCAAGATAAGAAACATGGTGAGACGCGTTACTGTGTGACTCGGTTGCGAAACACACTCGGAAGGACACGGTTGATGCGTGGAAATTACTGAAATACATATTTCACTAAGTCGATTGTTATTTAATTTGTTATTTGTTTTAATAATTTGCTTGTGTTCAGCACTTGGGTGTAATTATACATTTGAAATGTTATTTGTACAAGTCTTTTTACTGATAAACAAAAGTCTCGTCTAAATTTATGATTAATATAATCTCGTCGATCAGACGGATGATGGTATCAATTGAACATGCAGTATTGAACACGATTGATATAATTTTCTGGAAAACCGCCGATAGCAGAGGGAACGATTCTCTGACTTGACGCGTTATTGGTAATATTGCGCGAAAACATTTATCAATACTTGCAACTATATTTGTAATTTGAAGCTCATTCAAAATTGATCAGACACAAAAAAAAAAGAAAGAAATATTACGTAAATTTGTCATTAATATCAAATTCATATTTATAACAAACAAACTGATTGAGATGAAACGTTCGTTTCTTGAGAATCGAACACGAGACGTGTATCTAAACTATGAAAACTACGCAACACAAATAGACACGACTCGCATAAGTAATTATGAATGGTGATTTAAATACATTAGACTGATTTAAATAGCGGCAACCTTTAGCATAAAGTCTATAAATCGTACGCTGAATGAATACGAAGAATGAACCTCGTGGCGAATCTCAAGGCGGCGAAAATAATGTGTAATTTATCGTACGCTTTATAATTGATCCATTTGAATCGAGAAAACAATGCGAGAGAATAGAGGCCACGCCGTAGCAACGATTTCAGCTGCATTGAAATGACACGAGCTGCAGTTCTTGAAGTTCAACGTTGCGCTGGGTTCCACTGTCATTTCGCAGCAGCGAAATACGAGCGATCTGTCTAAAATCTACTTTTATACGCGACGTACGTTTACACGAGACAGGCTTACGAGATTCTCGTAGCTTTCTTTCGCGTGGCTACGAGAAAACTGGCTCGCGTTCGAGAGAACTCTCAACATTTAAAAATATTTATAAGTACAAGGTGTACTTTGTTTCAGTTAGATAATGATTCTTGCAGATGTCAGTCGCGACGATTGAGACGAATTTGTAAATAAAGAAATTAATCTAGAAGATTGGAAATTCAAGCGATGGGTTGAGAGTGTGAAATAATTTTTCCACCGCAATTCCATCTTTCAAATTATATCTGTACACAGATCCAGAGTCTACTAACTGACGCTGTCATGAGACACGAGTAGTTTCACAGCTACGTCAACCTTGAAACCATTCCATGCTCGCAATTAGTCAATTTTCAGTGCAGAGAATATATTTGTTCGAAAATAATCTAACATTTATCACAGAGAGCGGCGAACGAGAAAAAAATTTTAAAGCTGATAATTATCTATGAGTGGTAAGAAACTGTCAATAAAAAAACTTGTTACATTATAAGCGTATCTGTAGAATTTTTCTTGATAAATTACGAATTATTCACACTTTTATTTGCTTTTTAAATTTCCCACTCGATAAATATCTAGCAACCTCCGCGTACACACTTCCCAATTGCTCTGAAATTTGACCAATGTGATCACGATAGTTTTTCAACGAAATCTGAAAATATTCCACGAAATGTTTTGTACATCACGGAAACGTACGCAATCGTAGAAAATATTCTCGTCTATAACTGTTTGCTCTCTGATAATTTGCTTACGATACGCGTTATCACCCGGTAGGATACAAGGACTAATTGCAAGAGGCACAAGGCAGATAACGATTCAGCTGCAGACTGAATACGCCTGTCATTCGGATAACTTCTACGATCGCTTACTGATTATCACTGTGTAACAGAAAAATCGTGTAATCTCTCAGAAAATATACATGATAACGCGAAGGAGGAAATCGACGAATATGGTGACATTTCAGTTCGATTGTTATCGGATGGTATTAACAATAGGTGACGTTCACGGTCCGGGAAGGCTCTGATTGGAGTATAAATAATGCGCGGCCGTCCGTATAAAACATGACACGTCTATTCCGTGTGCCTCACTCCGTATCAGACGTTCACGGAGGCAGAGTGAAGTGATTATTATTATTTCGTGCACGTTCCTTAAATCGGTTTCGTTCGATAACATCTCGCAGGTTAGTACCCGTCGAATCTCTGGCCCTTTCTCTTCCCCCATTACCGGTGTGTGCTCCGCTGTGCTACGACGACCGCGTACTCGTAAATAAACGCGTTCGTGCGTTCGTGCGTTCGTGCGAGATACGACCGAAAAAGAAAAAGAAAAAAAAAAAAAGAGAAAAAAGAAAGAACAAATTGACGAGAAAAAGACGAGAGTGTATCACCAGTCTCTGCGCCTGTTCTCTCCGTTCTCTTCGACCTTGCCTCGCGAGTATGTAATATTTTTGCGTAACGCAATCAGTGAAAGATGACATCAGCGTTTCGAACGAGGATGGGAAAAAAATTTCGATCCAACCGCCGAGCGAGTGATTGGGATTTCCCGTCGACTTCGTCGGCGACCTGGCAATTCGAAGCGATCCGAGCCTCGTGCGCAATGGGACCTCGGAAATGAGGATAGTTTGCTTCTCGTTGCAATTGCGCGTCGTGTGATTATGTTACGCTCTCGATGGGCGTGCAAACGCTCGTGCATCACCAGCTGGCTGACGAATTGTCAGGCTGGCTAATTTTGCCGCGTCGTTCGACTATATCATACGTATATTTCAAGGTATCGGGTATTTAGAGAGCAAATCATCGTCAACAATAAACGGTTTCGACAAATTAATGCGCGCGTAAACGCTGCGAAACGCGCGGGAGAAAGAGGGAAGGGGGCGGGGCGAGAACCGGATTTCTAAAAGAGGCACGATCATAACCGAGTCTGCCCTCGATTTCTTCGTTCCTCTCCGCGAGGAACATAATCAACTGTACGATTCGTATTAAGTGCCCTCGCGTGATCTAAAAAGCGTTCGATAACCTCGAATAGCGGCACAGTTATTTTCAATCTTTCTTCTGTTTCTTTCTCGCGGTCGATCAATCCCAAAGCAATTCGTCAACGCGTACAACGTTTCGTTTCTTTATCTTATCTTCTCGCTACGAATTTTCATACGAGCACGCGCGATCGGTTGAAACTGAAAGGCCAGTACACGCTCACTCGCCATGAATTATTAACACGACTGCCACGATCGTCATCAAGAGTTTTTTCCAGATTACTTTGCTACAGAAGTAACGAGAAGATTCAAACAAGACGAATCAATCATCGATAAGAAATGTCGAATAATATTACGATGACGATAGAACGTTAGATGTTCGCTCTTTGTTCGTGTCGTTTCTGTTTTCAATCGATGGAAGTTGTGATCAAGTACCAAAAGTGTACCAAAAACGACGAATCGGCCTGATGTACCACTGAATGTTCGAATCATTTTAAAATGTACGAACGAGAGTTTGTACGCGTTACAAATGTTTTCCTCTTGTACTTCAATCTCACAAGTTTCGTACATCAGGCCGGTTAATGCGAAATACGCTTTCGCGCCGTGGCGTAATATTTTCTAAAAATTAGCGTGAATTTCGCCAACTAACGAGTTTGAAAGCTTCTGTTACCCGTGCGTAACTCCACTCTGGCTCTGATTTAAATCTTTCCGAAAACGTCGGCGAACCCGAGCGCCGAAAGTTTCTCCAGTCCTTCGGGAACGACCGTCGTGTTCAGGGAAAGAAAATAAAACGATTGACGAGGGGAAGGGAAAAAAGAGGGGACGCGCGTTCCTTTGTTACGTGCATTCCAGAGAGACCAGTCGTAAATTTCCTTAAAACACCACGGTTCGATCGCGTTCCGATGGGATCTGTCCGCACAGTGAAACGTGCTGCGTTCGCGTGGCAACTGCCGAAAGAAGAAAACATGAATGAAAACATGAAAAGGAGACGCCTCCGTTCCATTGCATTTTTAATTGAAACCGCCATCTACGAACGCGAGAAACCGATCCTTGCGAATATCGAGAGTCGTGTATAGTCGAGAGAGAGAGAGAGAGAGAGAGAGAGAGAGAGAGAGAGAGAGAGAGAGAGAGAGAGAGAGAGAGAGAGAGAGAGAGAGAAGAGACGAACGTAACCCGGAACAAAAAGATTGCAAAGATCGGAAGAAGCGGGGTAGGAAAGAAGGCCGTGAACAATAAGTTTCTGTGTAAAGAAATCGTTTCCGCGCTGCCGAGGACAATGATCCCCGCCGAGTGGATATTCTCCAATTCGAATTGCAATTTCAGAAATGGCCTACGAGACAGTGACATGGCTGAACAACGATTTCACCGAGAAAGTGATACAATTGGCCGAGGTCGACAGCACCATAAAAGTGATCGATATATCTGCGAAACCTGCCACCAACAAGGGCGACAATTACACCAGCGACATGGTGAGAGTGGTGGCGGAGTTCACGCGGAAACAGGGCACAGCTAAGGTCACCGAGAAGAAGTCGCTTTTGTTCAAGTTCGAGCCGATAGTCGAAGGGGCGCGAAAGGACTTGGTAAATAGTTATACCGACTATAGTCAACTTTCCTATCGATTTTCTAGGGACTAGAGAAAGATCTCTCGGACGTTTAGCCGAGATTTTCGTTTTCTCAGGAGTGGAGACACTCACAGGGGGGCAAATTTGTCTCGTATGTTAATTCTTAGATAGTGTTACGAGGAAATTAGTGAAAAAATGGTGATATTTTTAAATATTCTTTGATCGTGATATATTCGAATGATTTAAAATGGTAAATTAAAAAAGAAACGAAAATAAAGGAATGTTAGGGGTACCGACGAGTAATGTCATAATTTTCTCAGTTATTGTAACATAACTTAAAACTGTATTATAACTTTTAAATAGAATAAAATTCTGTACAGTATCGGAAAACGATCATCACGTACAGGTACCCCTAATATAATGCGTTAGTAAGATCTATTTGATATTCAATGAAAGAAAAATTCACGTAGAAAAGAAAAATGTCCGACTCTTGTAAAGTTGTTTTCACCGTTTGAAACTGTGGCCGTAGAATCTAGAAAAATTGCATTTACAAAGAAGAGAAGAACGTAGAGATAGGTGACTTGTTGCGTATCTCACAGCAGATGTTTCTGAACGTTTTGTAAGATCGTGGAGTCACAAATCTTCGAGACCGAAATCTTCATGATGACGAACACGCTGCGGAAGATGAGCGAGTTGCTGGGCTGTCGCGTGAGTGCACAGGCTTATTACGTAAAACTGGAACGACCGCTGTGCTTGATCATGGAGGATCTGGCTCCTTTGAACTTTCGTATGGCCAATCGTCATACTGGCCTCGATAAGGAACACGCCTCACTGGCCATTCAAGGATTAGCCAGGTTCCATGCAGCTTCAGTCGCTGTGTGCGAGAAGGTAACACGATCGTGACATAATCCACAAATCATCATTGGACTGCGTATATTTATGCAAATCGAACCAGAAAGATCGAACCTCCCGTGATGGAAACAAACGCATGAAAATCCGCAGTCTTATCGTCATATTCGCTATTAAACTTTCAAGTGTTCAATAAAACGATCAAACGCGCGTCTCTTGTATTTATGTTTAGTACAGTACGAACGGATGATTGTCTTTATGCATTTGCCTTTATCTCGCAATCAAATTTAAAAATTGTAAAATATATTCTCATTGTATAATTCAGTATTTACTGAACACTCAAAATCGTTAAGAAGTCTTGCAATTAAGAATAACTATGGCAAATATCAATAAACGATCTTGTGCTTCCGTAGGATCCGAAACAAAAGTCATTATACTGGAGAGGAATGATCAACAGAGACAATTTACAATTAGTAGACTTCTTTAAAGCTGGCGCTACTAATCTTGCAAATGAAGTAGAAACATGGCCAAACGGAAAAAAGTAAAGCTAATGAAAATACAATGCAGTTGTTAGACTGTGGATGTTCATGCGATTTCATATGAAACATATGAGACCCAAGTATTAGTAACAAGTATTCTTACACCGCGGCCTTAAATTTCTCACGATTGCATAAAAATCCACAGTCTATTAATTGTTACACCGTCGAAATCACATCCATCGTGACACCGTCGAAATTGCTTTAGGTATGCAGACAAAATTAAGAAATTCGCCGAAAAGATATTTAACGAGGAACTCCAGGTGATGAAACGCAAAGACGACGAGTTCAACGTCATAAATCATGGGGACTCGTGGACCAACAACATGCTGTTCCGATACGACAAAAATGACAAGCCTGTCGAGCATCTTTACGTAAGTAAATAATATTTTTTATTACAAATTGCGAATGTTAATGTGTAACGACCTACCGTAACGACCAATTACGAAGTAAAGTTCCTCTTTTTTACAAGACGAGCACAAAGGTAATTGTCAATTTAATTGTAAAAAACAGTGCGTGTGAAATAACTTTTAAGTGACGAGAGAAAGACAATTATGTATACTTCCATCTTCATAACGAACGAAATTGTAACAAAATGAATACGGAATTTTAAATCAGATTTTCAAACCGGTCATTCGATCAGGCGTGTTGGTTAGGTTCCAGTGATAAAAATGCAGTGCCAGCCAATGTCGTTTATCATTCCCATTTGTAACTCGAACGTCACTGTCGAATCACCAAAACGTTTAAATCTGTCGCGCGAGAGAAGAAACGTATCAAGAGGTCGGAATATCCGCCGCTGGAAGGCAGTGTATTATGAATAATGCAATAAATCCGACTCGAATCGCGTTTAGGTACATTGCCCACCTGTCTGTCGCGACGAGGACCGAGCACGAATCCTCGACTGCCGATGATTTCCTAAACACGAGTCCCTCCCCCTCCCGCACGCTTCTTTTCGTCGCTCGTCGCGCGTCGCGCAGATTTCATTTCCAATTCAATTCGCCAACGGTCGCTACATCGATCGGGGACTCGATCGGCGTGTTTCAGGTGGATTTCCAGCTCTGCCTCTACTGTTCGCCGGCGATCGACCTGCACTACTTGTTCAACACGAGCGTCTTCGAGGAAATCGACGACAGCCTCAGTAGCGAGGCTCTGCTCGAAGAATACATCACAACTCTAACCGCCACGATGAAACGGCTCAATTGCAAAACTCAACCGCCTACCTTGAAAGAGATAAAGAAGTCCATGAACGAACGGCTCGTCCACGCGTTGGTGTCGTCGATGAACATACTGCCATTCGCTCTGACCGAGAAGGATGACGCGAAGACCATCGACGATGTAGTGAAAGAAGAGTTCAAAAATCCCGGGTTAAAGAGCCCGACGTTCCAGAAGATAATGTTGAAGCGACTAAAGAAATTCGACGAAGCTGGCCTTCTAGATTAGCGAGTTCCACGCGAAATAGCGCTTGGTTATGAAATTAGAACCCACCCTTTGCGATGAAATATTTTTTTCTCCTCCTGCTGACTCTCACCGTTTCTGATAGTATTCAAACGTTACGTTATCATCGGCAGACCGATACGCTGACACGCGAATGCACTTTCACAATTCTGGGAAAGTTAATTCAAAGAGTCTGAGAGTATTATATCTTCCGAGTATTATCCGCGTCTCGTATATCTTTGCAAATTTTAAACTCCGTGCGAGTGCACGATTGTCCGTAATCTAATTGTCGTAGCGAATATCTAAATGTACAAATAAGCGTGATATTCTAAATTCGCAACATTTCCACGTATTACCACGTCTGTTGTAAGGGCAATTAAACTTGACGTGTACGCGGCTTTGACAGAGGCAACGAGAAAGGAAAGAAGAGAGGTGGAAATGAATTTTGAACGCGGAGAAAAAAATTTAATTAATTTCTTAATTAATTCTATGACACGCAATATCTTTCTAAAGTCCAACCGTGCCGTTTGACTTTATTATTTCCTTCTTTTTTTCCTACGTTCCATCGAGCTGTCGTTGTTCTCGGCTGGCGGGTCTTTAGAATTTCAGAGCCGACGATTCTCGCTAAACGATATTAAACCGCAAAGGGTTAGTTAAGCAAGAAAGGGTTAGCTAACTGCATATCACGTATTTGGGTATCACGTTGTTGGTTGTAGAATCACGGTTTGATGCGAATTAAAGCCGTTCCGACTAACGGTAACGAGCTTACAGCGGTACTCATTTGTCATTGTTTCAGCCGAATTGCAACGTTCGCGCGAGTAGAGACCAAATGAAACCAAAGTGCAACGTCTTTCATTAGACAGTGTAAGATAAGAGTCGTTAAGTTTCACAAACAGTGATTTTAGTACGTATTCAATCTAGTGGATACTTCTCTTAGTTGCAGATGGTACAAACTCACTAACACAATATTGAAAATTGTCGACAATGTAATTAACACACACATACATAAGGTATTAACATACTATATATCACACTTCAGACTTCTGACTTCTACAACAGCTGGTACAGTTCTTAAAAAACAGTTCTTCGTCACTTGTGTTAACAATTTAGTTTTTTTACATTGCTGACACTGAACATTGTTTCGCAAATTGAACGCAAGAGAAATAACGACCACTTACTGTCCAGCTTGCTCACTATGTTGTTATACTATTTGTTTGTAAAAAAAAAAAGAAAAAAAAACAGAGATAAAAAAGATTTTTTAAACAGAAGAAACGTACAGTTCTGGAATAAAATAAATCTTCGACGAACTTCACCCTGCTCGCCATTTTTCTTGTACTATTCGCGCCAGTCATTGAAGCAGTCATTGCACACGCACCCGTAAATCTTCTCTCCACCGCGGCCGCGACACCGGGTACAAAAGATTTAGGAGCGAATTGCACTCTCGCGACGCGCAAACGAAACGTGTCGCGGTGTTTTGAATAAATGTCCGTGTCACGTTTCCTCGCGCGTACCCGGTTTCGGTGCAAACAAAGAGGAGAGCGTGGACGATGAAATTGCTGTTGAACATGCGTTGCACACCGTGCATACCTACTATTTTATGGATTAATTGCACTTGCGGAGCGGCGCGGCGCCGCGGGACTGACGGGCAAATCTGCGGGCGGACGAGAGCGCAAACGGAAACTTGCACGAGGGGGGAAAAAAACAAAAAAANAAAAAAAAAAAAAAAAAAAGAAGAAAAAAAGAAAAATATGCGATGCATTTTCGCCGCGTGACGAAAATCGTTCCCAATTTCCCCCTGAAATTCTTTCGGCTAACGCGATAAAGCTTCACCACTCCCCTCTCGCCGCCGTTTTCATTCACGCGAGAGATTAGTCGGCTCACGGCTTGATAAAGCGCACCGCGATCGCTCGACCACGAATGTTTATTTGCGCTCGGGGAGAATTTAAATGAATAAGCACGCGGGCTAATGTGGGAAAGTGTAGATAATATTAACGAAAATAAAACAATAAAAATACAGAGTGGCGGGTCGCGTATTTTCAAGAGGATCTACACCACCGTGGAGAGTCGGTTAAAAAGAAGAAACGGAGCGTGTTTTTTAATTCCCCCCGAGTTGGTCAATGCCTTTTCAACATTTGTAAAATTTGGCATCAAACCTGACACAGTAGAAGCTTTATTGAGCAGTCGGAAAATTGTTTCATGTTTTTCGAAAGCTCGGAAACAGTGAAAAACTGAGCACGGACGCGACTCAGATTTCCCACGAACGAAGGATCCGCACCAACGGATTAACCGAGTACTGGCGAATTTTTATGTATTTGTAGGAAATTTGAAGATGCGAAATATTCAGCAGGCAAGTGTATATAAAACGTCCGCAACAAAGAGTCACAACGTTACAGATGAAACAAATTCATCCAGTCGCGCGAAAATGCGTGAAAATCAGCAGCCTGCCAACGACAGAGCTCAAGGAATTGATTATGAAATACGCGCGACTTTGACAAACACATGTTCGGCAAATATTTTTCAACGCGACGGAAGAGGCGCGGAATCAATTCGAGCACGCGATTCATGTAAATTATTCCCCGGGAAAAATTGTTCCCCCGATGACAACGGGATAATAAACGTTTGATGGGAGCGTATTAAAAACGGTCGATCGGAATATTTGAAAGGCGTAATTAAACGCCGGCGTGAAACGCCAGTGGAATATGAATAATAATTATCAGACGGCGTTCGAGATTCGAGTACAAAAATTGAAATCTATTACATGAAAATCTCTCTTTCTTTCCGCCTCTTCTTCGTCGTCCTATAGTTTCAATATTTGTGTCGCTGGAGAAATTAACGGACAATTAAATTCGATGCACTGTGTCGGTGAAATGACATGCGTGCTCAAACAGCTATTCGAACGAGACAGAGGGAACGGTGGAGTTTCGTATATTGATTTCATACAGAGATACGCGATACACTTCGTTGCCAAAGCAGCTTGGTAACGAGCTTGATTCAAAGGATGATTTGTACAAATCACAGCCGTTTGTACGGTCGCAATGGCAAATCACTTATTTCAAACGAACGTCTACTCTGAGAGAGAGAGAGAGAGAGAGAGAGAGAGGGGGGAGGAGAGGCGAAGAGAGAGTTTTCAGAGAATTATTCAACGAGTCGAGCACAGAATGATTCGACAATTCCGTATCAAAGCAATTCTCCACTCGCTTCGCCAACCCTTCCAATACTTGCGTAATAATAATTACTGAAACTACTTTCGCGTTTCCTTGATGCGGGTCGGTTATTAATATCGATTCCAGTTCTCTCTCAATAGATAAATCTGCAAAGCCCCAAGTTTCATACCGATAGACTTTACCTGTCTTTCTCTCTCTCTCTCTCTCTCCCCCTCCTTCAGACTACGACCGAGATTCACGGAGAGATTATCAGAGAGCAGAATCGGTCGAACCTCGTGAATTCTCCTGCGATTTCGATGATTTATCCGTTCGGGGTCGTCGACCTCTGTTCCGTCGATCGGGCGCGGTCAGAGATATTACTGCCGGACCGTGTGAAAACGCATAGATCCGGCGAACACCGCGGCAGGCATCACGGAGAACGCGATTAACTCTGAAAGCTAATTAATATCTTCCAAGCTCGGGGCACGCGTTTCGCCTTTCAATTAAACCGAACTTGTGTGTTTGTCCGTGAGCATATTTATGCACGAGCCGTGTACGTGACGCGAAACAAACGATCAAATTAATCACCAGCCGATTGCTATCTCCGATACATGTACGCGGCCCGAGATGAACCTGCCATTACTCCGGCACCCTGCGTTATCCGGCACCACGAATTCCAGCTTCTTCTCTCTGTCGCGATCGTGTTTCACCTAAACGATCGCCTAACGCGTCGTTCCGTCAGATTTTCAGCGGGCTGCGCACGATGACGAAGAGTTTTTTGAATTTTTCTGAAAGTTCAGTTGTACATAAGTAAAATAATTTGAAAGAGATATTCGTCGCACGATGTAATAATAATTTCCGTGCGTCACTTGCGTGCCAATCTATTTCCATGCTACAGTACACGTTGGATTATTAAAATGTAAAGTTGTTTCGTCACGCAGCGAAGATCTTTTGTTCATCCACGTCGTGCTATCGGACTCTAACCTTTTCGGATGCTCGGCCAAACAACTCTAATCAGTTTTTGAGCAAATTAAAGTAATCGTGCTTTATCTACGTTCCGTTTCCATTTCTCTTTTCTTTTGTCCCCGGATAATTCGTTTCTTTTCTCTCTCGCGCGTTATCAGAAAGCAAAGTTGTGTACTTTCGAAGCGAGGGTAGACTCTCCAAGAAACAGTGACGTTTTCATAAAATATCCCTCTTTGACGAGTCGAAATTCATATCTTTAAATCAAGGACCTATCTTTGAAGATTTTTCGTATAAAATTTCGATCAAGTCGAAATATGGTAAAGATATTCCACAGAGAATTTAAGTATGACAGGTCCAGCTCAATATAAAACTCAATATAAGATCAACTACTTGCTCACTTGTTTTGACTTTAATGGGGCTGAAAGAAATTTAAAAAGAACAGGTTTTCTCACGAAACGAGCCCGGTTACGATTAATTCTGCGTTCTGATAGCTGCTAGGGGCTGAATGATTCCTCCGAGGACGAATATCGCACGGCAATAATCGATAGGGAAGTCTTAGGAGGAGAAGTTCGTGCTTCCTACGGGCGATACCGACAAGACGGTAGACATATTGTCCAATAGGGTAAGTAATAGGCAATTTCGATAACAAATAAGTTGCTATGGCAATATCATTAGTCAACGTCCTTCCGCCTTGCCGTGCATCGATAAAACGACACCCACGACCGCGATCAGTCATGTCTCTCGTCGCGATTCCGCCTCGTAAAACGCGAAATCTCGCGGCGGGAATTTTATTAGCCGCTTTGCCATGAATTAATTTCCATCGCAAATCACTGGGACGATGAATCGGCCGCCGGGCAATTCATTATACGCGCGATAATACACCGCGACGCATGGTAGTACAGTATTAACCCTTGGGTGCACTCGTTGGATCGTGCGCGTTTATTGGTGGCGTACAGAAGTTCAGAGGTTGAATCATTTTATAAATATATCACGTTAGATATATTGAATTATATTTCGGGGAATATGTCGGTTTATATATACTTTACATGTGACAAATTTTCATACAATTGCGAAAAATTCTGTGAAAATTATCAAACATTTACAACCCGTTTCAAAAAAAAAAAAAAATATATATTTTTTTTGAAGATTGGAGAGTAATGTTTCGCCAACGATTCAATTTAACTAATTAAAACATTTTAAAATCAAAATGTAGTAAAATTAAGCGACTCGCAAGTTTGACTCAATAAGAGTCGACAAATATCGCAAGCACGATTCCAACCAGGAAAGGTAAAAAAAAAAAGAGAGAAAGGAGGTTCCACCGATCTCGCGTATTTTCAAAATTCTCTT